AGCCGAAACGGAGCAGCTTGGTGATCCGCCAACGATGATCGGGAGACAAGAGTTTCTTTGGCATGGTTTTTGGCACTCCTGCCCGTCATGACCCCTCATGGCCATTGATGAAGCTAAGCCCTGACATCTTTCGGATGGATGCAAAGCTACTCCCCGACTGATGTCGACTCAGTGGTTGTGTTTTTGCAGTGACTGCAAGTAATTCAGTGTCTGGAACGATTTTTCCCCGAATATATTCTATAGCAGACCTTGCCCTACCTGCGAAGCCAACAATCTGTGATGAACGAAATCGAAGTATCAAGGTGAACTTGCTAAAAAAAACACACACACACACACATCCCCTCAAAAAAGATACACAAACCCAGCACGGTTCCCCAGTTTGAGGTGGTTAAGAACCATCCATCCTCCCTCCTTTGAGGCTGTAATTGGGGTGGTGCGATCCGCGATCCGCACATCGGCAGAGGCCCCCCCTCCCTTCTTCACCTTCAAAGAGCAAACAAATCAGGAGGCTTCCTCTGAGGAATCCGATTCTTTGTTCTCTTCCCTGGACTTCAGTTCGACCATTGAAAAATACTGGGAACGACCGGTCGGTGAACTTGTAGCTGTTTTAATCGTCAAACGTGGTTTGAAGTGGCTTGAATCCGAGGGTCTTGGAACACCGGAAAAAAAACAACATGTTTTCATGCATTTCTTCTTTCCCACCGAAGATGAAGATCGACTTACCATGGTCCATGGTCAAGCTACCGGCCTTGGCCTTGGCCATAGCGGGCTCCAGGTGCCATGACTCGTCAAAGACGTGACCGAACTGGCTGGGTCTTCGACATCACGGGACCGGTCGTGGATTCCGAGAACGTCCGGACCGGTCGTGTCCGCTGTTTCAAAACATCCATCGATCCATCGATGCTCCGTCCCTTCGGGACGGACATCGATGGAGAGAAGCCGTCTCAGCACGTGGAAGGCGCGTGCAGTCTTGACCATCGCTGGGAGCCCCTTTTTCTTTGGTCGATGCCATCCTCCAGGTGACGATGCCACCCTCCTTTTCTTTGAACCACCGAAGCCCTCCCCGAAGCGTCCGTAGTAGGCCCAAGCACCCAGTGTTGGGAGACTGCCCAGCGCCCTGAGGAGGAATTGTCCATAACCATCCAGTTTCTGGTATGTGCTGGTATGTGCTGGTCAAGTTCGTTATGCAAGGAGGCACCAATGGGTCAGCTTCGTCCAGCAAACCAGTTCGTTCCTGTGTGAGTCAAACTTCTTCAAACAGTTTGCCTGAAACCACAACCAATGAACGTTTTGTGAGGTATCTCATACAAAACGTAGAGACTCCCATGTGTGTCCTCATACGAACGCCGGAAACCGCAAAACCAAGCCTGGCCCGCCAGGCAATTTGACATGACGATCTCCCAAACGCTCATACCCTGACGCCTGAGCCGTATTTTCTGGAACGTTGACCGAACAAGCTCGACCTGTTCTTGTGAAACATGGGGTGTCCCCAGTCCGGGCAGGTTATCCACTGACTGGGTATGTATCTGGCGTCTCAAATCCCTAGACCAAGGGGCCGTGAAATCTTAAGCGTCTGGGTGGTCATAAACCCGCTTGGCTGCTTGACTATGTCCTGAAGACTAGCTGTGACTTGCCGTGCTGCCGTGCGAACGCTCCGACATCTTCGCATGCTGAAGGCTTGACCACTGGTCTGGAACGCGGAAATATACGGAAACTACATGGAATTACAGTCGCAGGAAGAAGTTTGGCATATAGCCCCAAACAGCGCTAAGTATAGTTATCCCGAATTCTTCTTCGCATAACTGTTTACAAAACCTCCGTGTCTGTGTGTGTGTTTGTGGTATACTCCGGCTACACATGTCGTTCCTCTCAGATCTGCGTTCTTTGCTTCATCGAGAATGCATTATCGATCCTTAGGGGCCCTTTCTCGTCGTCGATGAGGTCCTCGGTGACGAACCTAAACCGTCGGTCCAAATAGAGTCGAACTGGACTTCTAGGGCAAAGCTTAAAAATCTGGTGGACTTTCGTTGGAATTATCTTTCCTACTCATGTGAGTTGATTGGGATGTCAAGTTGGCTGACCTGGACACAGAAGGATTGATCCTTTTTTTCCTCATAGCATTTTCCAAACCAGCAAAGACCTTCTTTAACTTGGGAAACCAATCATCTGCCGGATCCCAGCTCGCCCGGCACACCATTACTTTCCTTTTCGTCCTGAGGCAATGCCACCTCTACGCTGACATAGATCCATGAGCGTCGTCTTTCGCTTCGTTAAGCCGGGGATCTTGCGCCGTCGACGAGTCCAGTGAGGAACATGACGACTGACTGGTGCGAGAACGCAGGGAATGAGGGTGGGATCCAATCGAATCTCTAGCGGCTCCGTCTCCGTCTCCATTTCCCTACTTTCGTCGCACCGCACCAGGGAAAGACGACAAACAGAATCTACACGCCGACGCACCGTGAAAAAGTGGATGGATCAACCTACCAGGTGGGAGTAGTTCATTTTTGGGTCCCAAACACGGAAGTACTTCGGGGAGACTTGGCACGCTATGGCGTCCGTCCGAATCCCATTGGATGTGACCGGGTCAAAGGTCACCTTCGGATGGGGCGGCTCGTTGTCTGGAGTACTTATAGCGAGACTCTTCTTGGCTTCAAAAAATGGACCAACATCTTTAGATTGGAGCTCTAACCCCCACGAAGTCATGAAGAAAACAGAAGACTTGACGAAGAGGAACCGAGTCGTTGACAGTCGTCGAACATCTGATTTAGGTACCTCCACCGTGGTTGGATTCCAAGACGAAGCGTGCTGCGTTCGGCGCTTCGTTCGCTTCAGGCACGAACGGCACACCTGCCACCAGGTCCCCTCCCTGCGGGACCGAAGAAGCCACGGTCTCTTCCACGCTGGGACACCGGACAGAACCGGACAGATAGAAGACAACAAGCGGTCGACACATGTGACACAAAGAGAGAGAGAGAGAGAGATATATATATATAAAATATATATACCAGGCCATATTTTGGGTGGTTGGTGGTCCAAAATAGAGGTCATTTAGGTTCTAGGTATATTATATATATATACACACCAACTGGCTAGAAACCCTCAAACTAATTACACATAGCAGTCTACACCAATCACGTCCGAAGGTATCCAGTGACCCTCCTGGCACTCGGTGCAGAAACTACACAGTTTGTGAAATGACATCTTCTAGGAATCCTCCCCAATCTCTTCATCTCTTCTCACCTCCTGCCCATTCAAAACCAGTGGAAACGATTGGACACTTCCTCGAACTGAGAGTTTGACTAGGAGGCTTTCGATGTCTTCCCTTGGTGGATCAGCAAACCTAGCCTTCCAACACCATTGAAAAAAGACGGGAACGGTCTTGTAGTCTAAAGCCCTTAGTGCCACAATGGTTGTTCGGAATTTCCTCCATATCAACCCAGTAGAACCGGTGGGCACGAACCCACCAGGGACCCCTCAAAACACTCTTCGAACCTGAGACCTCCGGTGTGGGGCGCTGATCACCTGCTCTGTCCAGGCACAGTCATGACAATCCTCTGGGGGTCTTTTGGGGATCTAGAAGCGGGTGTTGAAACACACGTCGTTGCACCTGGCAAACACCCTTGTTGCACCTGGCGGAATGTGTTGGAGAGGCAGATTCTTTGGGGATCTGGGATGAAAGCCAGGTCACAGAGATGTCCAGGGTGGAAGAGATTGACCTTCCTCCGCAGGATTTTGGGCAAAACCATGGATCAACGAACCCACGTCGCTGATCCGTCGCGACGGATGCGGGCTGAAGGAATCATCCAAAAGGACCAGAGAGAGGCGACTGAGACTGAAAGATGGGCTGTTTCGAAGTCTTCATTACACTATCTCAATCTCCAAACCAGATGGCGCAGCAAAACGTTGAGTAAACCCCCTTGACATTTTGGATGAAAGAACACAAATGCTACACTTGGCAACGGCTTGTCTTTCTTGAGCGATGCTTTGCTGCTTGAGATGTCCCATTGTGGGGTGCTCAAGAAAACAGCGCCCAGAGAGGACAAAACCTACACCAACTTCTTCAAATCCCTACCTGAGCATCAGGGACATCTTGAACCGTGGGAAGAACCCCTTAGTGACCTTTTTGGAGTCCTAAGTGACCTTTAGTGACCTTAAACCTGCGGTTGAAAAGGTCACTTTGAAGCACCCCCACCGTGGCATTTCAACCAACTGCACTGCGTCCAACCCAGCACTTTTCTTTATCTTAAGTGTCGCTGTCATTTGCAGTTCAACGTCTCCATTGAACTTGTCACATCACTGGTAGTTCAATCGTATGAGGTGACAATCTAACTGGCGCATCTTTTGACATCCTTTCTGGCATACCTTGTGTACCTGGCATGTCTTTTGACATCCTTTCTGGCATTCTATCCGGCATATTTTCAGGAATTCCAACCGGCATATCTTCTGGCACTCTAACTGCGGAGGTCTGTGCGTGCCCAGGAAAGCTCTGGATGGTGTGCAGGTCTGTGCGTGCCCAGACTGCGCTGGCACTCGTTGTGACATGAGGAGGAAGGAGATGGAGGAGGAGGAAGGAGGAGGAGGAGTGGCACCTTTCTTGAAATCCAAAGGCCCTCACCTGGCAGGTGAGGAAAAAGAAAGTGACCAGGTTGACTTGAGGGTAGGAAGATGCTGGTTTTCTCGAAGCTTCCATCTATTGCCTCCTTGTTTCCATCTCCAAGCAAAGCAAGCGATTCCTGGTACGATTCGACATACCTCCAGTCATTCTGGCCTTCGACTCAGTCTCTATCATTCTCAACTTCAATCCCTTGCACTTTTTGGTCCGACAATTCTTTAGGCGAATTGAAAGCGATTTGGGTGTGCATTGAAACAGACCTCCTAAAGACCTCCTGGAAGAAGATAAATTGACCAGTCTACCCATTGGTTGCAGTGTCTCCCTATGTCCACAAAAGCCCACCCATGGACTCGACAGGACTTGGAAAAGCCCGACTTTCTGATTTTCTGACACATCCTGACGCATCCTCCTCTGCTCTGGTTCCTTCGCTGTGTGCTTCGCTCAGAGGGCACGAAAGAGCCGCACCACATCCGCCACATAACCCAGGCTGTTCACCTGGATCGGACGGCGTGGGACCGGGGAGAGGGGACCGTTGGACGGAGGACCCCCCGGTTTCTAAGACTGATTGAGGTTTGAGGCAATCCTTTTGTTTGGGGGGGTAACACCATGTATGTTCATGTGGGGTTGGAGGAGCAGTCTTGAGATTGGAGAGTGAAGATTTGGATCATTGGAGCACCAGAATCCCCTTCTTTTGATCTCTTATGGTCCACGGTCTCACCTTTGTGCGGGGCGGTCATGGTGGTTTCAAGCCAGAAAGCCCAATCCGCACCATCCTTGGGGTCGCCCCCCTAGGCACATCATCCCATCCTCACTTCGTAAGATCTCTGGAACATGGGGAGATGGGGGTGGAGGAAGGGCCGATGCTCCCGTACCGGGAGTCACAGAGTCAGTTGCTTTGGCCTGGGTGGTGCGTCCAAGTCGGGGCGGATGTGATGTGACAAGGGCTACCTTACCTCCTTGCTCTCGATCCTCTCCGTTTCGTTGGGAACAACCCGGCGACTCGCTGGGATGATGCCGCGCATCGGTGGTTTTTCGGCTTTCGCCAGCTGGGGATGTGCTGCCTTCTTTCTATTTCGTCAGCTGGGGCGGTGTGTTTCTGAAAGCTTGGAACAGAAAGTTGGCCACCCCGGAGAAAATGGGAATTACACCACCGTAGACCCCAAACAGGTGGGACCCCCAAGAATTGAGAACCCCTATAACAGTAAACTGAATTGGGGAACAAGAACCTCCACCATTCTTTTTGTTTCTTTGGCTTTTGTGGGCACATCAGTGGGACCAACGCAGAACACCGCCCGGGCGATACGCGGTCAGAAAGCCGTTTTCACCGGCGGATGGAGTGGTCCATGCTCGTTCCTTCGCCACAGAGCCCTTGGAGTCTATCCCAGACACGACCTAGCTGGGACTGCCATAGGACTGCCGCCCCATTGACCCCCTTTCAACCACCCCTGGCCGTTTCTCGGCAGTCCGAATCGGCAGTCCCTACCCTAGACTTCCAAGACTATTAAAAGAATGGTTGAACTGGTTTTTGTAGTGTAAAATCCTTAGTTGGTTCGGGATTCAGCCTATTTTTTTTAATGGTGCTTGGAAGTCTAGGGCCTATGGTCTTGAAAAAAGGTCGACGACGGTGTCGCGAGTCGACGAGTCACCCAGACGTGGCGAGTCGTCGACGAGTCGGACGAGGTGCCCCGGCGGTTCGATGCGCTGAAGCCCGACGAAGAAGGCGAACTCCGACGTCCGCAGCCCGAAGAGAGGCTCGTGTCGGGTTCGGGGTTCGCCGCTCCAAGTGGAATCAAACGAAGAAGATGAGGATTCCGGTCGCATCAAGCACCCCGAAGCCAGTCCACTCAGTCCGATTGGGGCAGTCAGGTCCAGGTCCAGTTCGGTTGGAGCAATCAACCAGAACCTTGAAGGTGGACCCAAGTATCCTGGGGATCATGGCACCGGGCAACCTTGGGTTGACCAGAAGGGACTGAGGTCAACCTCCTTGGCTTGGGGATCCTGGTTTTGACCCAAGTGACCTTGATTGTTCTGATCTCAAGTTCGGTCACTCCGGGTGCAAGTCACGTACTTTTCCTTTCCACAGGGCCACCCATGGCCTTTTTCATGGTGATCAGAAAACCACACCCATCACTTGCAACATCAAACCAAGCGCGTTGTACCGTGAGCCACTCCGCTTGGAGAAAAAAACGGACGGAATCCAAACCATCCATCGCATTGAGAAGGTTTACAAGTATACTGCGACTTGGTTCTAGTATGTTCTAGTAAGGTTCTATATGGTTCTATTCAATTCTGTCCCAAGTCGCCAGCAGAATTGGCAAGGAGAGCAACAACGTCCAGGGCACTGCCTGGAACAAAACGGGTGCTCAAGTGAAAACCCAAACCAGGAACTGATGGTTCTGTCACACATCCGATGGTTCTGCCCCCAAAAACGAAGACACATGAAGCAACTCAGTTCGATATGAGAGAGAGAGAGAGAGCCCTCTTTATTGTATACATGGCTCGTTTTGCAAGGCAATGTGGTTGCTGTTTGACCTAAGAAGCACATTTTGTCTAGCTGCTTCTTTTAGCAACATTGCCCCGTGGCCTACATAGCAACGTACCAGGAGACCCTAATAGCCTAACGGGTTCCAATGGCTGCTAAGGGGCAGAGCGTGCGTTTTTCCTCTATACCTCAATGGCCCATTGCTGGATTTCAAAACCATCTGCTGCTGCTACTGCCTCATGAAATCCAACCGTTTCTCCCAAGGCCCCTTAGAAGTAAGTCCAGTTCGACGATCTTTCCTCCCCACTGACGTGCTTGACATTGGATCACCTATATAGATCATTTTGAAGAGTCTTGGACTCCCAGGGTGTTGTTTGACTGAAGCAAAGGAAGTTCCTATTTTGGCCTCACCAAAACACCATTTCAGACATCATCGACTGTACTTTGGAAGGGAACGTTTTTGGAGTGTTCTTGGCCTGTAAGAAGAGCACGCGAAACTCCAACTCGAAGTCATGCATGAAGCTCAGAAAGCAGCTCCTGGACCGGGATGAATAACAGGAGCAAATCCCCCAAAACTCCTTCTTGGACTTGCTGTCCAAGAACTGGCAACGATCAAACATCCAAGCACTCCCCAGGTTTGGGGATTCACCCGAACACAACAAAACACCGCCAAACCAGGCTCTTCAGGTTCTCCCATCCGGAAGTGCGTTGCTTTCTGTTCTTTCTCGTTTGCAAAGGTCGACCATGGCCCTTCTTAGTGCGAAATAGAACAGCTATGAACAGCTTCTTAGGTCCCCCTTTGATCTGGGCCCTCAGAATAGGAAAGGGTTTGGAGGGGCAAAATGGCCATGTGCAATTTTTCTGGCACATGCCGAGAGTTGAGCGCCTCACACGCCCAATCTCTTGATGTAAGACATTTGAATAAAGAATTGCTTAAGACAGGAGATATGGGGGATCCCACTGTGGATTGCGAACACGTGTAGATTGTGACTTAGACAGGTTTCGACAATGAAGCGCATATGAGAGAGGTTGGCAAAGAAGCAACATCAATGCATTCACGGTGTGAAAAACGATCGTGACTCCATGGGGAGATCACGGTCTTTCAAACTACTTGTGCAGCACAACCTTCACGCCTTGACGTATCATCCAGTTCTTGTGAGAAAGCTTTTAGAAATTCCAATGGTTGGCCAAAACAAAACATCACCAGCACCACCCAGAAACTGGTTGGGTATTGCTTGGAACACGGCGGGGCGGGGGTCATCCATCCAGTTAGAGGGGGTGGTGCTGGCATCACTTTTCCCTGATGATTGGTCACGATGGTCATGGATTCTGGTCCACAGATTTGACCGGTACATCCAAAATCAAACGTACCAAACGCCAAACGAGGTGGCAATGGTGGACTAAACATGACCTATACATTCAGCCATAGGCCATTGCGCCACCGTGGATCGTCCGGCAAAGACGAGCGGGAGATCCCTGACTTCAAGAGAACCGGGCTGCCCGGAACTCGACCATTCCAACCGCAACCCACAGGACGAGAGGCACCGGTCTCGGCGGTGTGCTTACTATTTGGATAGGAAAAAACCGATCGTGCATGAACCACCCCAGCTGAGTGGTGCTGGCATTACACCTGTGGAGTGACGTCTTAAGCCACCTGGCATTAACCCACCTGGTGTCTTAAAACTTTTGTCAAACACTTGTGGAGTGATATTGCAAACATCCGCCCTCCACCCCCTCGAAAGTCAGCGGCTCAACGGATCGCTCACCAGCCCACGGACCACGCACGCGCGTGCGCGAAGCGAGGGCTCCGGAGGTTGGTGTTGGTGAAGAAGAGCCGGTTACTGGCGGTCATGATCTTGTTCGCGTAGAAGCTGGATCCCCAAGGCAGTAAGCCAATCATGTAGCCTGCAGTCGCACTACTAGGCTTTAGTGGCGGCAGCATCGCCCGACTTTTTTAGGCCACCAAGGCGCTACTTGTTTTTTTCGCTTCGCCAGAAAGGCTATTCAAGGAAGTACGGTTCCTCTCTTCTGTCAAGAAACTTAGAAAAGTACAGGTTCCAACTAATGTGGAATTCCCAAAAAATATACCCAGAGAGTCATGGAGAATTCCCAAAATTGTCCTTACCCTAAGGATCCGGACCCGAACCAACACATTGGGTTTGGGAACCGGGTCCGGACCCCATGGAGAGCCCGTTCGGATTCTTAGGGTATAGAGTACCTGATTTCCGGAACTTCCCCGTCGAACTGGACTTCCATGCAAACAGAACCTGATCCAGGAGTCACATGTCGGGGTGCGATCCATGGAGGTTAGTGGTGCCCAGAACATCCACTCACTTGGGGACTAAACGCCACCCCGTCTTGTGATTCCTGGTAATTAAACCTAATCTGTTAAACTACCATTCAATCACTGCAAGTCTTGGGGAACTCTTTTTTCCCAAGGGCTTCCAGATCTCAAGGCCCCCACGGGTTCGACCTGTGCTTCCCCCACCGACAGGCTGAAGTGAATGAGTCCCGTCCTCTGGAACCCTTGTCATCTCCGTCCGCCACGACTCCGTCGCCTCGCGCCGTAACGTCCGAACGCGGTCGCGCCGCCGGGGTTCACCCGGCGAATCGGCGCCTGCCACGCCGAACCAGGGAGAGGCGCCCACCCTGGACCGAGGAAAGGGCGCAAACGACATGAGCGACCGTGTGGAGGAGTGGATCCCGCACCGACATGCAAAGATGCCGAGTCAAGGCCGACATGAGCCGAGGGACACCGACATGCAGAGTTTTTGCCCGACTGAACAGGGTCACCAGTCTGTTGAAATCTCCTCGTCCGCAAAACGCCTCCAGTTCTTCGGAGAGTCAGTCCAGTCAGTCCAGTCAGCTGCTAGCGGCTAGGTCGATCACCAGTCAGCTGCTCGTAGAACCAAGAAAGGTCAAAAGGGAACGAATGTGAAGTTTCCCTAAAAATCCAGGAACCAACTCATTCGTGCGAGCTCTCCTGCATCCTATCAGTACCTCCGCGACCTCCGCGTCCTCCCCCCCCCCAAAAAACCGGGAGAACGGGAGAACCCGGAACACCGAACGGGTACCAGACTGGGAGAGTCCGAAGTGTCCTGAAAAACCGGTCCCACACGGACCTCGAACAGTCCAAAGGTTCGCCCCTCGAAGCTCTTTGGGCCGTACCGTGGGGTGCTAGAAGGTGGGGTACTTAAGTATCTACACATCGAAGTGTCGACACATTGGAAGGTCCTTCTCATCTTCCGAATCTGCACCCCAAACACCTGGACTGAGCTGCATCGACTCGCTGAGGACTCGAATCGACTCAGAACCGAGCAAAAAGCCAACAGATCTTTCCAGAAGGGGGATCATCCTCCGGCATAAGCAGCATGGTCTAAAACCAAGCATCCAAGCTCCTCCAGCTGATTTTGTCCCCTCCCTTCAACCAAGCAACAACCAGGTTAACCTCACCGGCAGGTGCCAATGAGCTTGGAAGCGCGCGGCCCGCTCGTCCGCGATGGGCTCGAAGCCCTGAGGGCGTCCGCAAATTATCATCCATGGTCCATGGGGTTAGAGTATTGACTCTTAGGAGCGTTCGGACGCTACGTTTGGGGCTCCTGGCCTTACTACTAGGAGCGTTCGGACGCTACTATAATCAAATCATTGACCACATGTTTAATATGTTTACCAATCAATTGCCCCTTAAAGCATCAAATATCTTAGACCCACCCAGATGTTCGGACACATCTTCCAGCTCCCATGAATTCATGGTTGGAAACCCAAACCTCAGGCGCGCTCAAGGAACTTCCTCCGGACTCATCCCAAAGACGGAATTTGACCTGGAGCTTCCACCCATCAACACGCAGACCTTCTGCATGTTCATCCACCAATCTTAGACAAGGACACGGCAGAAATTCTGCGTGTCTGACTGGAAGATCCAGCTATACCTATACATTAACTCGAGTCAATAAATCCGATGTGTAGGTAAATAAGCACCAAACGTGGAGTGTCTGAGTCAGGTCATCGAGTCAGACCATGTTTCTCAGATGCTTGAAATAGTCGGACTGGACGAACAAGAACAAATCAAGCCCAGACGCTCCATGGGACTGCCATAGGACTGCCGATCAGGCCAGGGGTGGTGTGAGGGGGGTCAATGTAGCCATACATGGAGTGTATGGAAATACAGGGTGAGATCCCGAACGGTTTGCAACGAGATCTCCACAGGTGGTTGTGTTGATGGAATGATGATTTTGCTGGGAGGTGACCTTCTACCTGGACCCGGCTGACCCAGTACCTTAGAAAATGGGACGTTTGACCCGAACCAAAAAACAGGCATGAGATGGACTATATATACCCATCTTCCGAGGTACAAACCAGGTCAGCTCCAGATGACCTTTCTTACCGCTTTCGACGTATGAAGGCTTTCAAGCAGAGGACGATGGCAGATGTTGCAGGAGATGTTGGATTACTATTTTCTTTTCCAGTTCTTGTGATCTAGATGCTGCCTCGTACATCCTTCCGGAGGAGTGGAGACAACCACCCTCCTTCTCCATCCCTCTCTGGTCTCACCTGCACGATGCTCCAAATCGACCAAGCCAGCAAGCACACTTCCTGGGGCGGCGGTGTCACGAGACACGTGGAAGGAGCAGAGAGATTATCCACGCCTGCGTGCCGGAAAGCACATGGTTGATCCGGAAAGCAAATGGTCTATATCCTGGAAGTCCCAAAGACTATGTTTAAAATTGATGACCTGATGGTGTTGTGTAATAAATCTTTGGTAAAACAACTGGTTCTTTGGGATTCAAACCATTGAAACCGATGGTTGTTCAAATCCTAGGTGATCTGGGCTAAGCCCAGCACTCTTTGCGGCCTTGCTCTCTGGGCACCCAGTTGGAGCCCAATCCCTTTTTCGGGATGGATAGTTCTACTGCACAATCAGCTGAACTTTTCTTGCAATGGCCTGGACATCTATCAACACACTTGATAGAAAACAGCTCATAGGCGCCTGGTTGATAGGCATCTGACATCTATCAGTGCCCTGGACATCGATACATTTGTTCTGAGATCCTTGGCTGTCAATGAGATCCTGCCGTGGAGACTGGGCGCCCGAAGTTCACCAGGCAGGTTCTGAGAACAGCCCAGTTCGCGGCCCGGTTCGCACCGAGTACCGTCCGATCGCTCCCTTCGCCAAAACCCTTTCCACTTTCAACCAAACACGGTGAGGAGTCCCTGGTCCGTCCACGATGTGGAGTCTAAAAGGCGACGAAATAGGCCTCCCTTGCGGACCAACACATGGACAAACCCACTGTGAGAATCTGTTACACTCCCTGGAACTAACATGGAAGTGGAGAATGGCCCAAACAGGTGGTTTTCCACTTCCATGTTAGTTCTAGGGAGGGTATATAAAGCTGCACTCCATCTTCAACCGGCCAATTTGGCTTGATTTCAGGCCTTCGACTGAGGATCGACTGACAGGAAGACAACCCGCTCCTAGCCATGCCAACACCATACAGATCAGTCTGTTGTCTTGTTTCCTTCAATCAATGGCCAGCAGGCACCAGAGACATCTGGTTGTGTCTGATCAAGTACCTTTGTAAAGAATCGGAATTGATCTGAATTGGCATGTCCTTTCTCATGTTAAATCTCTGGCTAAATATGGCCAACTTCGGGTGTGTGATGGTGTGTGTGTGTGTGTGTCTCTCTCTCTCTCTCTTTTTGATCAAGCAGCAGCGACCCAGAAGAGGACGAAAGGGATAGATGCCTTCCATTGCATCCTGTGAAACGGCCCAGAAGCAAAACCGTTTGGAGCTGGGCATCCTCTATTTGGAGCAACCTCCTGTTCTACTAGTGATGGCCTCCAACCTAATGGCGATGGCCTCCAACCTGTCAAACACGAAACAAAAGGCCTAGAAGTACGCCATATACTGGGGCCATACTGGAACAATTCGTTACTAGGAGGTCTGGCCATATTTGAGCATCCCTTGCAAGGAAATGTCGATGCGAGCACGTGGAATCAATGTCGATGCATGGACAAAACATATGATTGCAAAACTATGACGAGGATCTTCTTCAACTCAGTCAACTCTTGTTCGCAACATCTCCTGCCATCGTCCTCGGCCTGACAACCTTCATATATGTCTGACCTGGGACGCCAAAAAAATGAACCTGGAGTTGACCCGGTTCGTAGCTCGGAAAATGGGCTACAGCACATCATTGAAACCTGTCAGGGCCCCTCCAAAGGAGACCTGTACAGTCGGGTGCTGGTCTACCTTTCGCTCATGTTCCTTTCGCTCCGATGTCCTCAGCCGACCGGGTCCTTCGGTAGAGGTTCCAGCACTGCAGGTAGCGCACCTCATCCAATATCGGCCGGGCTCCACCCGTCCCGGCGGTCGTCCGAAACCCCGCCGAGAAGGAGTTCGTGCGAGACGTCTTCGGGGTTCCCCCCGGGCGGTTTCCACCTGGAAGCGGTACAGGTCGCCGTCCTTGACGTTCATGCCCGCCGAGGTCGCCGTGATCTCCTGCATGGCGCGACGGCGCGGCGGCCCGACGTCGCGCCCGCGACCCCAATCCGCTAAGGATGGCTCGGTCCGCTGGGGCTCTACCACTTCCAAAGGGCGAAACGAACTGGGAGGAAGTCGGGGTGCCCATGATCCACTCACTGGATGGGACTTTAACAACACATCTAAACACCCTTCCTTTGGAACTGCTGGTGTTTTCGGCGTATAGGATTGCGTAGGCACGGAAGCCAGAGACATTGGAGTCTTCTCCTCACCCAGTCTCCAGGCCGTTTCGTCCGCAGCTCAGAGCAAGGACTAAAGTAAGTCAAGACGCACTCTCCCGAACAGAATAGGTGTTCGAAGGTGGAATCGAATGCAATGTATCCCGGAGAGTCCAGTCATGACTCATTGTACCATTGTACTCCGAACTGGTAGTGGTGGATGGATTGACTAGCAGGTGGAGTAGAATGAGTCCATTCACGGAAGTTCTGGGTATATATTTTCAGCAAAATAACACCACCCGCACGTTCACTCCATCAGGATCTCACCATTATTAAAACAGGATGAAGAAACAACAAACACCTCCCAGACCTCCCAGACCACTTTTGTCCCGTGGTGGGTGAGGTTTCGTTGAGGATGCACGTCACCCTCAAGGCCCCGCCGATGCAGAGGTGTGTGTTGAAACAACGTGCCTCAAGGCCCGCTGAGGCAATCTCAGGATGTAGTTCATCAAATGCACTCACCAAACCTCGAGGTCCGAGATCGCAGTCCGGTCAAGCAACAGGGTGGTCCCGGACGGCGACAGGGTGTCTGACAGGGTGTGACAGGGTTCCATGGCCTTTTGCAGGGGTTTGGGTCGTTGGAGGTGTTGGCCAAAACTTAGGAGTCCCTCCCTCGTTCCGAAGGCCCTTCCAGGCACCATGCCCAACGGGCCTTGTGGACATGGGATGGGACTTGGGACTGAACACTGGTCTTTCGGTAGACCTGGTTTTGTAGTGTAAAATCAGCAAAACCAGGGTTGTTCGGAATTCAGGCTATTACAGTGGTGTTCCACGAATCCTATGTTGGGTATATCCTATTTCCCGCAACAGTGGATGATGATGTTGATGACCCTTCATATGTTGTTGGACATTCCTTCAGAATTGGGATGTCACCCTTAACAACTTGTATTAACTAATGCTGGTCTTTGGAAGAAGAGGTCTATATTTCAGGCAGACCCAGGAAGAGCCTGTTTCTTGGAAGAAGAGGTCCCGACTTCGCGATCGAAGCGGTTCTCAAACATCGCGATCGCCACCTTTTGGTGGCGGCACTCCTTGGAGTTGCTTAAGGAACCGGGATCAAACCAAGAATATTGCCCCAGATAGGGAAATCACCCAATCGGGAATCGATACACCCTAAGCAACACCGAGACGGTGTGGTTGCTGAAAAAGGAAGACAACAATACTGTGCGCTGTCATAATCGAACATCCTTGATACTGGTTATCGTTGAATGAGGAAGCTGTTTCCGACTCCCTCACTTTCCCTGGAAAACAACAAGTTCACCTGTTCGAACGTGCAATGTGGGGTGCCACCACTCCCCGCCAAAAAGCACCCGGGCAGGCAGGTGATCCACCTACTTCCTGGGTAGGAATGGATCTATTCTCTTCTCATGTGACTTTCGTTTTCTCTTGGACGCTCCAGGTTCAAGGTCCAAATCATAGAACCAAAGACATAGAAGCAATGATCATCCTTGCACTGCTCCTCTTGGGTTCCACCGTTCCAACGGATGGTGTGCGAACGACACCCATAGAGTTCCATGGAGTTCCATGCGCGAAAGCATGCGAACAGCATGGTCCAGCCCCATTCCGCAGCCCTGAAGCCGGTGTTGGAAGAAACCTGGAAATCTGAATTACAGGACCGGATAACCCCACATGTAAAGTTTTCTCAAGTCTGTATTTTGTAGCACAAAGACATGTCTGTGAAGGTCATGTGTTTGGTCGATTCTTTTCTGCGCAAGACGAGTTATGCGGTCAACATGCCGTGAGGATGAATCGGAACAGTCCCAGTTCAGATCGAAGTTGCGCATGTCCTTTTGTAGATGAAGTTCGTTTTGATCCTGCTGTAACAAAACCGCGTTCTCTGTAGAATGGTTGGAGAGGGAGTCAGAGCCGGCGACCGGAGGCGACAATCGCGGCAAGAGCTACAGCAGACCCTCCTATAGACTGCAAATCACGCTGTCAGGGACTGTGCGATATGGAGTGTGTGCTGTTGAGTGTGGTTTTGAGTGTGTGATGTTCAGAGGTGTGATGTTGAGTGTGTGATGTTGGGTGTGATATTTTGAGGGTGCGATGTTGGTTGTGTGACGTTGAGTGTGTGATGTTGGGTGTGTGGTGTTGAGTGTGTGACGTTAAGTGTGTGATGTGGCGGGAGGATGTGGCGGGTGTTGAGTG